GAGAGAGAGAGAGAGAGAGAGAGAGAGAGAGAGAGAGAGAGAGAGAGAGAGAGAGAGAGAGAGAGAGAGAGAGAGAGAGAGAGAGTATTTGGAGGGGGTAAGGTTGAGAGCATTGTCTTGTTGCTGTTTTGATATCAACTTCTGATGTGGAAGCCAAGCTTAATAGCTGCAGATTGGCATTTCAGGAACCGCTGTGGGGATAGTTTTTAGCGTCTTTTTTCCCCTGCTTTCGTTTTCCTCTTCTGGAAAGCAAGCTCTGGGCTTTGATTGAACCTTTTGGCATCTGCAGTCCTACTGCAGTGAACATTGCTATGTAAGAAAGGGCGTGTGGGTGTTTTGATCTGTGTCCTTTGTTTTTGAAGTTGTTCTGTTTTGCCCTTCTCCATGCCCCAGTTCACCTTTTACCCTTGTCCCTCCCCTGCCTGATAAACATCTCATCACCACTTCGAAATTTGAATTGTTTGAGGATATTTTTTCTACGGGGAAAGAGGATGCCGCAGCCCTAAGTAGTATATGAGGGTATGCTTGCTATGCCATCGGGAAGCTAACTTCATGCGAAGGTGTACTTGGAGTTGTCGGGTGAATCGTCTTGAAGGGGTAGGGAAAACCTACTGGGTCTGTGATCCCTCGAAGTGAAGCGGGTGGGTGGCGTGCAGGTCCCTCTCGTATTCTGCCGCACCGATGCTCGTGCTTGTGTATCTTTCCTCCTTTGAAGTATTGCCGAAGTATTGGCTCAGCGGCCGGTGAGGTACGAGTGATCGACGCATGCTGCCAACTATATCATGTCGTTGAATGAACTGGGCACGAAGAAAGATGTGTGCTTTTCCTTGTTACATGGCCATGTGTTGAAGCCTCTCCTTTCTATTACCTTCTTGTCTGCCGCGTCCATTATCGGTCTCCTTTCTGTTGCCTTCTCATCCGTCTCCTATGTCGTCTCCTTTCTGTTGTGCTCTCGACTTCTCGTCCATTTCTGGTGTCCGACTCTTTTTCGTTGTGTTCTTGTCCATTTCCGGTATTCAGCTCCTTTCTGTTCTCCTTCCTGTTGTGCTAGCGTTCTCATCGGCCTGCGGTATCCGTCTCCTTTGTGTCGTGTCCGCTTTCTCATCCGTCTCCGATGCCCGTCTCCTTCCTGTTGCTTTGTCATTTGTGTTCGTCGTTGTCACCGGTCTCCGATATGCATCTCCTCTCTATTGCCTTCTCATCTATCACCGATCTCCGTCTACCTGTCTCCGATATCCATCTGCTTGCCATTGTATTATTATTGACTCTCTTTTCTGTTGCCTTTTCATCCCTCTGATATTCATCTGCTGGGAAAGGGTAACGGCCCTAATGGGCCATCTATTCTGTATCCGGCCTCCATCTGCTTGCCATTGTATTATTATTGACAACATCACAAGCTGCTGGGCAAGGGTGATGGCACTGGTGGGCCATCTATTCTATATTTTTATATGGCAGGTCTGTGAAGTCTATGATTGAATGAGCTGCGGTAGAAGACATTTTTCTTTTGCATTTCCTATTTGTTTCTTCCCCTCGCTCTGTTTCTCTACTGTCCATTCCACGTTGTCTTTGGTCTATTCCTTAGGACTCACAAACTGTGTCCGTGGGTGTGTGTGTGGGAGTGTCTGTGTGCGCACCCATGTGTATGTGTGTCTCTCTCTCACACACACACACACACACACACACACACAGTGTGTGTGTGAGTGTGAGAGAGAGAGAGAGAGAGAGAGAGAGAGAGAGAGAGAGAGAGAGAGAGAGAGAGAGAGAGAGAGAGAGAGAGATGTGGACGACATAAAGTTCTCCTGAGGTCGTGGTAAGTCAGTACGGGCTTGCACCGATGCACCCATTTGTCCAAAAAAGAACGACGGAGCAATTAGGGCGAAACTATGCTGAAAAATTGGAAGTGTCAGTGAATCAGTATGGTATTTACAGTTATGTGCATACTGGAAGGATGATTTTGAAGATTTTCTCCAATAAAATGATTGTCGGTAAACTGATGGTGTGGTATTTGGTATCTTAGCAAATCTTGTCTGTGCCACGCTTTCCGCACAAACGTATAGCGACCCGAAATACCAGCCAGATTCGATCTATATCACAGCCTCATGGGGGGGGGGGGGGGGAAAAACCCCTTTTAAAAAAAAAAAAAAAAAAAAAACCCTTTTCCCCTTTTTTTTTTTTTTTTTTTTTTTAATTTGGACCATTTCTTGATTAATGCGTGTCATCCTTGAAAGCGCAGTGCAGTGGCCATGCTAATCTTCATTCTCTGTATCGTTCCAATTTTAACAGATGTGCCCCTCATTGTCCCGAAGGACACGTGTTCCTTTTTTCGTTGGAATTTTAAATAGAAAAAGAGCCAAAAGTCTCAAGAAGCGAAAAAAATGCCAGCAGCAGCAGAAAGTCTAGAAATGGAAAATGTTTTATTGATTACTGGAGAGAATGGGATTTTGACGAAAAGAACGAAGAACAGAGTA